TAATATATATTACATGTGTGTATTGAAGAAACCAACCACACATATAACAAGCACTTCTTTTTAGTCCCTCTTTTTCTCAAATGGCTTAGCATTTTTTGGTGAAACTACTACCTATTTTCCTATCAAAACTAGACCTTAATGATGGGACATATCCTAGGTACAAATTCTAACAATTGTCCTGCGAGAAGTGCTGAGGCCTTTCACCATTTCTCTTGTCCAAATTTAAAATTTCATCATTTTTGCCTGCAGTACACCCTGTTTGCCTATAAGTACATAATATGCGATTCCACACAGCAATTAGAAAATCTGTCATTAGCTAGGCTACAGTGATACGAGGCAATAAACTGTAAGGCAAAGTGCCCCAGACTTGACATGAGTGTCTTTTTAAATTTTTTGTTTGTTTGACCAACTAGTTGTCAATGTTGCTTTTTCTACATTTCTAGATTTATAACCTTGATGTTTAAGACCCATTTTATAAAACTCACTGGAGAATTATTTTTAGTAATAGGTTCTAAAGAGATTATAAAGTCCAAACCCTTCTTTACAACTTGAAAGCATTTTTCGAACTGTAAAACAACCTACCACTGTGATCCAAATGAATTTCACAGTCCCTGATGTAGCTGGGTTTTGGCTACTTTCAACCTGTTGCTCTGCCTATGAGACAATGTTCTCCTATGCTTTATTGTGACAAAGCTGGTAGAAAAGTTACTATAGATGTACTCTACTGTATACAGAAGCAGTGTTCTACTGAATTAGATCTTGTCATTAGAGGAATTTGATATTTAGTAGGGACCTGCAATAAAATTTTACATAGTGAAATGTGACTGAATTATTTGCAGGGCCGGGGATTTAGCTCAGTGGTGCTGCCAACTGCCTCGCAAGCTCAAGGACCCGGGTTCAATCCCTGGTAAACAAACCAAACCAAAACAAAACAAAACTATCCTTTTTATGGGGCTGGGGGTTTAGCTCAGTGGTTCTGCTGCCTGCCTTGCAAACCCAAGGTCCAGAGTTCAGTCCCCGGTACCAAACAAAAACAAAAACAAATAAATTATTTGCAACCATAATTTGCTTTGTACTATATTAAATCTGGTATTGGGTTTTCTGATTTTCTGATGATCAACACACCTGGGTCGTCTCTCATATATGCTCCTATTATCTAGCATTTGAGATTATTCTTCTATTACAAGCTTGTCCAAGCCCTTGGGCAAATTCCTTACCTCTCTTATTCTTGATCTTCTTAATAAAAAACAGATTTAACTCCATCTTCTCTATCTACACTCTCAGTGACCCTGGTAATTTCAAGCAGGAAAATGGATGTAAAAGTAATTTGTAATTATGACAATTAGAACAAGAGTAATGACTAACATTTGCTCAGTATTTATCACGTCAGGCACAACTTTGTATGAATTAACTCATTTAATTCTTTTAACAAATCTAGGGTACACAGGTTCTATTATTATACCCATTTTACAAACAGGAAACCAAAGCAAAGAAGATAAGTGACTTGTGCAAGTCACAAGACATACAAGTAAAGAAGGTGGAATTACCTGAACTGCTTATACCACAGGCACAGTGAGTCTATGATGGGGACTGCAAGAGATAATATCTTAAAAAATATGTGACATCACAGGAAAATAAAATAATTGCTATTTTGTAGATGAGGCACCTGAGATCTAGCAAGGCTTCGTGGATTGTCTGCTGTCAAATGCTACACTTTCAAAGTATCTATAATTTATAGTATGTCTAGAGTATATCTGAAGTACTATATTTTAATTTGAGGGAAGTAGAGCAAAGCTATTAGGAACCTGGAAACTGGATTCAACTGTCATATTTTAATTTTAGCACTAGTATATAATCATCTGTTTCATTGGGAAAATGAAATATTCCTGGACAATTATAATGGTAAGTGTTTAGAAATGTGAGGTGCTATTACCAAAAATGTCCAAATTCCTGCAGCTGAGTCCCAAAGCACATCAAGAGTTCTAACTAAAACTGTATAGTTGCCTATGAATATGATAATGGAGCAACTACTGTACCTAGATTTGGAGACTTGCAAATGAAGTTTCCATGACTTTTTTCCTGATTAATCTATGTAAAAAAGAACCTGATGAATTCACATAACCAAGAATGAACTTTTCATATATTTTCATTCATTCATTTCCATTTTCTACACAGTGGTACTGATATCCAAAAATTAGTTAGAAATAGCAAGGAGAAGGCATAGATAACCTATCAACTAAAAAAGGGAAAGGGTACTCTATTCCCATAGGCCAACTGTGTAGGCCAGGCAGCCATTCAGCAGCCTGTGGGCACAAACACCACAGCTTGATTCCAAGTCACAGAATGGGTCAAATCTGGCCCTTCCACTATGAGCTGGGTGGCCTTAGGCAATGTTACTTCATTTCTCTGACTCTCTCAAAAGCTTCTGATAACAGAGCTGACCCAGCTGCTCCTCTGTTACAGAGTTCTAAGATCTAGGGCCCTTAAGATGTTTGTGGAATTCATTGCCTTGCCTTACAAGCCCTAAAGATATTTCTGCAAGAGAGACCTTCAGGATTAGACTGCTCAATCAAAATGGCTATAAGATATATATCATAGGGATTTTCTGGACAAATAAGACCTTATTTAGCATTGAGCCAAACGATTATGAAGAATCTACCCAAGCAGCCAGGGATTTAGCTCAGTGGTTCTGCTGCACAAGCGCAGGGCTTGAGCTTGATCCCTATTACAAAAAATAAATAAATAAATAAATAAATAAATAAATAAATAATAATAATAATAATAAAAACAAAAGAAAGAATCTACCCAAGCACCCAAGCAAAGATTTAGCTAGTATGTCTGGTATTCTATCAGGCCAGAGCAAGTCCTGTCTGTCTCGTTGACAATCCCAGCCTCCCAAAACTAGGCCCATCATCTACTCCTTCTGAACACACACCAAAATTGAGCACAAAGGAATAAGACAGGCTGTGACTTGAAAATATTATCAGGCACACTTAGCTAACTAGAGTCTGAGTGGGCAGTTGTGGCTGGATTTCAAATGAACTCATAAACTTATGGGCCCTCATACAGCCTGAAGCACATAAGCTTCACTCTCCTATCCCAACATGGCCTCATTTCCACCCAGCTAGCTTTGCTTTCTGTCCACCTCAAATTCAACACACAAAGCTTTTGAACTCATGGTTTCCTAAGAAAGATTTCCTACCATTGAGCAAAAGAGAGCACTACTAGGGCACTGAACACCACTCACCTGTAGAATTCACTTTCCAAGACTCTATAGATGTCCTTTAAGCATATGGAATAAAATAAGATTCAGACAGAGGTGTCCAACTCTAGAATTTGAGCTTGTAATCACTGTACTGTTTTATCCTCCATTTAGGTAAGGAAATTGAAGCCAATAGAAGTATAACATCCCTGAGATTACAGGGTTACTCAGATTTTAAACAGAAGTGCTTCCCTTTTGAAACAGGAAGCTATTTCCAAACCTAATTCCTAGAGACTTTTATGCATCCAAAAGAGTTCTTAGACACTAAAACGTAGCAACAGAGTACTATATAGACATAGAGTAAATATTTTAGATCAAAAAGCCCAATCAGACACCGGTTGATGATACTTTCTGGTCTCTGATAATCCTTGTGCTGTGAGAACAGCTGAAGACTCCAAAAGCATGAATCTGTCCACATGCCAAGAGCTTTATCATAAGACTTGGTGGCTCATGATTAGTCTAGGGTCCCCAGACTAGAAATGCCCTTTCAAAAATTTTCCACATTTGTTCCCACTTCAAGACATGATAAAATGTTTCCAGACTAATGTACCAGAGGAATTGTACCTGTTTCCTGGGGAAAAAAAAATGGCTAATCTGAATCCAGCTCTGATAAAGAAGGGTTCCTACAGCCACAGACCATTCGAGAGAGATGAAGTAGGACTGTTTGAAGTGGTTCATGGAGAGTCTTGGAGGACTTTAAAACATCTAAGCAGAAGGCTCTGGGCCATCGTGGTCTAACCCCTTTCCACTTAACAGGAATTCAGCTTAGCTGAAGGGACTTTTCCAAAGACACTGAGCAGGTTAGTGAGTGGCAGATTTGTAATAAGAGGCTGGAAATGCCCAGGTTGCAAACAGCCTTAGGCCCAGGACTCTGTCTGAGCTGATACTTCGCACTCTCATTTTTGACTGTTCCTAACTGCAGGTACAAACTTCAGGGTCAAATTGTGATTTCGAAAGTTGTCAAAGGAAATAAAAAACAAAACAAAACAAAAAACTCATTTTCCAAGACAGCTTAGAGTTAAATCTCAAAGACAGCTTAGAGTTACATCAAGAAATCTTACGGCTAGTGTCATAGACCCTTACACAGAAGCTGTCTTAAAATGTGTACACAATTTCCTTTTCATAGATCACAGAAAACCAGAGAGATAGAAAGATACAGAATGAGATACAGAGTTACAGATGAGGGTGACAGTTTGCCAGTGGTATACAGAAAGCAAACACTCTCAGACTCCCTTGACTGAAGGGCAGAAAAAAAGGGCAGTGAAATTTGGAATACTGTTAAACTCAGGACGGGCAAACTTCAACTAGCCTGAGACTACCCCAGTTTCCCTTGTAAAGAAGGCTAGGGGCCTCCCCTCTGTGGACTCAGGCACTAAGAGCATGTGTGACACTCTAGGCCTGTCATCAACACAACTCGTAGTACACAAAACCAAGTAGACTGAGAACTGAACACAACTACATTCTCCGAGTCCCCGAGGAGGCTTGCTCGGGCCCGGAAGATCCCAGAGGAAAGTGAGAGAACTACAGCCATAGCCCCAAAGCGCCAGAGAAGGCTCTTTTAAGTTTCGGCTGGAGTGAAAAGCTCTGCTCCTCCCGCCCTTCTCTGGGGAAACAAGTTTCCAAAACAGCGGGCTAAGGCTCTTCTGATGGGAAGTCCTGGCGATCAACTGTATCTCACGCAGGACTGGAGACCGGCTGCGCGCCCCGCCCCGTCCCGCCCTCCTTCCGCAGCTCTCACCTGCGATGTCCCAGAGCTGCAGGCGCACCACAGTCTCCGGGTCCCAGTGGAGCACCTTAAGCGCGAAGTCCACGCCGATGGTGGCCCGGTAGTGTGAGGAAAAGTTCTGGTGCACGTAGCGCTTAATGATGCTGGTCTTACCCACGCCCAGGTCGCCGATCACCAGCAGCTTGTACAGGTGCTCCTTGTGCGGGGCCTGCATCCTGGCGGCCGGCCCGCTGTGCCGTGCCTGGCCGGGAAGGGCAGCCTGGGTTTGGCGCGGCACAGATACCCGGAGCACAAGTGTGGGCGCCAGGGAGAGGCGGCGCAGGGGGGGCGGGGGCTCGAGGCGGAACTCCTCCCCCGGGGTTAATCCTCCTTCCTACTTCGAGGTTTTGGAGGTGGGTGGAGACAGGAGCTGCACGCCCGCCGGACTAGAAACTAAGGGGCTCAGGAGTTCGCCTACACTACAGTCGCCAGAGATTTTCTCGCCTTTGATCCCGGCCAAGAAACTGTGAGGTGTGGATTTTACTTACACTGTTTTGCATGTGAGAAAACTGAGTGTCAAAAGTACTGAATCCAGATACCCTGAGACTGCCCCCCCACACACACACACTGAAGAAAGATTAGAAAAGCAGTGGAGACAGCAGTATTAGAAAGCACAGCGCCAGTGCTTCCATCCTGTCAGCCGCTACATTTGAGTTGAGTGACCTTGGGCAAGTCATTTGAGTACCTGGCCTCTGTCACTGAAATTATCCTGCGGACTTCGGCAAGCAGCTTTGAGATAGGAACATTGAGCGCTCCCACCCCTATTCAGTTGTTAACTGAATAAGAAGAAAGAGGACTGGGCTACATATGGTGAGAACATCCAAAACTCTGAGCTTCCTCTCAATATCCAAAAAGCTCTGAGCAGCACCCAGAGACATCATAAGTAATATCAGTAGCAAACACTTATGCAGCATTTGTTATATTTCCGTGGTTTTATACGTATGTCACATAATCACCCAACAGTCTTAAAAATAAATAATATTGCTCTTCTCATTTTGCAGCAGAGGAAACCAAAGACTAGATGTGTTAAATAATGCCCCCAGGGTCAAATAGCTGTTGAAGAAAAGACACATTAAACCTAGGTCTTTCAGCTGCTAAAGAATTTTTTAAAATTCATCTATTTAATCAACACACTTTGAGTGCCTACCACACACCATGCACAACTCTCTGTGCTTGGGATAATACAAAATAATAACAGAGACAAAGATTCCTGGCCTAAACGTGTATAGATAAGGAAGAAAAGGGGATATGCGGACTTGGTATGGGGTTGACATTTTAGAAAGAGTGGCCAGGGAAAGTCTCACTGAAAAGGTGACAATTCAGTGACAACCTAAAGGAAGTGAGAAGGTGTACGTGCAGGTCCTGAGGATGAGCATTCCAAACCAAAATAAGCTATTTTGGGTGCTGGGAATGGAACTCTGAATGCATGATCTTGTCCATCTTTCCAATTGCCTTGTGGAGTAGATTTTTGTTCAATTTAGAAATGAGAAAACCAAGGTTGAGAGCAGCCTTCCAAAAACCACACGAGGCAGGAAGCATTAGAACCAGGATTTAAACTCAGACCTGTGTGAAATGGCGAGTGGAAGGTTTGGCATGTCTGTGGTTTTCTGCTGTTTTCCTCTGTCCTTGCTCACTATTGCCTTCAGCCTCTACACCCTCACAAGCACAGGGTGTGTGACCTGGACACATTACATAATCACTAAAACCCTTGTGTTTACATCCACGAAATGAGAAGAATAATATCGATATTATACAGTCATTGAAAGGAGTAGAGTTACTATGTATATATAATAAAATGCCAGGCCCATCGTAGGTGCTGAATTAATGGCAGTTCCTAATGTGAAATGAGGGACATGTTTTAAATCTGTGGACAAGTACTGTCTTCTCCAGTTTTATCTCACTTTAGATGACACTGGGGGAAAGTGTAGAATTGCATTAGTTTGTGTTTTCAGGTGCTTGGATAGGTAGCCCTTATTTGCTGGTTTCATTGGTTTCTACCCACACAGGGACACACCAAGGAGATTACATCTAACACGTGAGACAGATATTCTACTTGTTTAGAGAATTAGCTAACACTGTATCTTTATAGGGAGGAGTATACAGGAACTAGAGATGCTTAAACCATTTTTAGCCTTTAAAAATAAGGGATCATGACAAAATAACATGTAAAACCTCAGTCCTATAAGGCTGAAAAAGTTTGTTCTAGGCAAGGAACTGATTGATGGTGATAGAAACAAGGAGGGAGAAGTTTGACACAGTGTGGGCTGTCCCTCAGTGTTAAACCTGAGCCAGCTTCTTCGCAGGCCTCAGCCTGTTTCCCCAAACCAGATACAGGCTGAGTCATCCTCACCATCCTCACCATCTCCCCTTGTGATCAGGAGCATGTTGGAAAAAATCAGATGCTTAGATTTATGGTACAGCACAGACACGATATGATTCAGGTTTTCTGGGACACAAAAATTATAAAATGGATGGTTGTTTAAGCAAAAGAATACAAAATTAAAAATAAAAAATCAGGTCTAGGGCCATGAAAGAAGTCCTGAAGCTTCAGTTTCATTGCCTCTCAAGAGACCAGGAGATTATGGTTAGGGAGAGTGGCCAACCCTAGTGAGCAAGCTCCCAGCTGGACAGGAAGTATATGCCATTTCTTTCCATAGTAATTCATTTAGGTCTCGTGATAGGTGTTCACAGTGGAAATAAATTACTCTGTTTATATTTTTTAATCCTGTAGACTAAAGTGACTTGTTGAGTTACCTAGACAAGCAGGTCAGTGAAATCTTTATAAAAGGTGCTCCAGGTCTCTGTACCAAAAGTGGCTCATCCTCCCTCCCAGCAGCCATTCTGAACCTTGGACAAACTCCAAGATCTCTTGCAATGTAGCAATCTCATTACCCTCACATACTAAACCACAGCACACCCTCTCCTGAAATTCAGAGAGGCAGATGACTCAGATTTGTAGGAAGAGTGTGTGATCACAGAATGCTCAGAATTCAAGCCAGGAGTAGCATCTCAGAAAGCACACAGCATCAGCTATCTATAAAGTCTCTCCTCTCTTGCTGTCCAATGTGGATACGTGTGTTTGCACTTACTAAGTAGAAAAACTAATTAAAGTGATTGGAGATTGCTTTGCAAATATAAACTAGAAAGGGCATTCCCTCGTGTTTCCCTCCCAAGGTTGCTGAACTGGGTGAGCTCCCTAAAGTTACTTTATTTGCTTTGGCCAATAAGAGAGCCACAAGGAGTTATTCATTAGCTTATGTGAGCTCTTAGTTATTGCATCAAAGAAGTACTTAAGGGAATTCAAGAAAGGATCCCAAAGGCTTTACTGTAGGAAAGGTAAACTAATGTTTCTTAGATTGATGCAAGGAACACATAGTTAAATAGATGAGCTTTTATCCTGCAGAAAGGCTGTAAAGAGGTGACTATTTATCATCCATACTGAACTTCTTGAGAGTGAAAGGGGGTGTTATTAATAATTACACCAAAGAGCAGGAACAAGTCAGTTTGTCTAAAGAATATTCTCATTCCTGAAGCAGAAAGTTAGAGATCTCAAATCTACATCTGAAGTGACATTTGGGGGAAAAAAAAATCTCCTAAATCAGTGCCTTTAAGTTAAGGCTTAGCTCATTTCTCTGTTATTTTCAAAGAGCTCTCCTTTCATCCACTGGGCTTGTCCAAAACTTGTGCTAACTTGTAATGGGAGTTACAACCAGTGTCAATTCAGGAATGCAAAAGTTGCCAGGAAGTGAGAGGCAACTTTTAGATTATGTAGAAAGAAGCCAAGAAACTTTAGTTTGGGAAGTGCTTGAAATAAATAATTTTAGTCTGAGAATTTTGATATTGTGAGAAAAATTTTACTGATTAGCATCAAAAATTGATTACACATGTTTTAAAAATTCTCCATTAATATCGATCCAGAGAAATAGGTTATGCATTAGACATTTTTATTAATAGATTTATTGCCAACTAGAATGATATGCTCATTAGGTTTGTGTCGGACAGATGTGGCTGAGTTAGAATTCACTTTCCTCCTAACCCACCTAACATGGACGAGAGGAAATAAGCTATGGAATGACAAAAATGAAACATCTGAAAAGAACACAAAAGGACTGTATGTTCTAGCATTTCAACTTCCTTGTATTGAGTATCCTTTATCTTAGTAAATTTATTTAATTCTAAAAGCTACCTTGTAGTGAGGGCACCGTTTTTATAATAAAGGAAATAGTGTTCAAAGAACTTAAATAATTTCTCCAAAGTCACCGATATTAAATTTCATAGTAAGATTTATAATCTCCAGTTGCAAAATCTATGCTTTTTCTAATACACAATACTTTCAGCATGTGATAAAATTTAGGTCTAGATTTCTACTCCAGATTTGTTTCTGCTACAGTCCTAGATATTCAGGCTGTAAAAAGACAATGTTGGTCATATTTTATAAAGAGCTATGATGGAGTGTTGAAAAGGTAGAATATCCCACATTCACTCTGGTCAAAAGTCAGCATAGGGCTGGGGATTTAGCTCAGTGGTTCCACCACCTGCCTCGCAAGCACAAGGACCCGAGTTCGATCCCCGGTACAAAAAAAAAAAAAAAAAAAAAA